TGACCTCAATTCTACTTAACTGATTGTTGCCACACATGAGAATCTAGGTTTTTATGTGAAATCTAGCTGAGACTTAATTTTTAAAACATTTTTGGAAATGGTCAGTGGGATTCCAGTTTCCAAGCTCTGCCTTGGGCAATCATTAATCTTGTGGAAGGACTATGTGTCACTTCATGGCTTTCCTGTTCAGAGGAAAGAACTAACTGATGCTGACCAGTTCAAGGCCCTTGGTTCAAGGTCAGTCTACAGGTTAAAAATCCAAGGCAGGGCCCTCCCTGGTGGCGCAGCGGGTTGAAGCACTGTACTAGGAAACTAAAGCCACTTCCGCATGAGTTCGATCCCCGCCTGCCCCGGAGGCGACCACATGGCAGGGCAGACCTCTCCTGGCCCGCCCGCTGTTCCCCTCGGCAGTGTGCTTCATTGGTCTGCCTGTTCTGCTCCCTGCTCTGTCTCTGGTGAATCCTCTCACTGCCTCCAACTCTGGCCTGGTACCCCGTTTTGTAGCAAGCTCATTAAAAAGAGAGATAAAATTCCACAAAAAAAAAAAAAAAAAAAAAAAAAAAAAAAAAGCTCTTAGTGTGGGTGTGGAAAGCAAAGGGAAGAAACCTGTATACAAAATAGAAAAACAAGAACAGTGTTTTGCTTCTGAGGAAACTGTACATTATTCCTGTATCTGCTTCATCATAGACAAAGGCCTTGACAATGACCCATTCCGTGGGGAATGGTGACAACTTAGAACGGTAAGGGTCTGATTAGAAAAGAGAGTGACTATTATTACCAGAATATGGCAACCTCCATAATCCAAAATTGTCTTGCTCCAACTCTCCCAACTCTAATCATGGGCTAAATATATACAAGTGGAATCTACTAACCTGTCTGCAAAACGACTGCTCTTACTGAACCCTGCCCAGAGGGTTTGACCTGGATAACTTCTGTTCCACAGAAAAGAACGTGTTTCCGATAGTCCTCCAAGCTGTGGGATTTCCAGGAAGTGGTATTGTCCATATGGGGCAATGGTGTCTTTGTAACAGGAATACTTTCTCCTAAAGAAGAGTGTGTAATGTTGATTCTGTGTGAACTCAGATTTATTTAAAGCAAATGTGTGGCAATTCAAGCAAGTATACAGACCACAGTTAATCAATCTTAATGCTTATTTTATGAGTTACGGGCTTCTTAGGAATGCTGGCAACACAAGAAGTGGAGGCCTTGATTATATTTCAAAGAACTATTTACAATGCACCTAGTTTTCCTACATCTGACCTACATGGCTTGTTAAAATTTAAAAAGCTGTCCATTAGCAGAATTGTCACTCATTCCCGAGTGCTCATTAAACCCATCACTATTCTAGACAATGAAGACTCTGTAAAGCATGTGTACAGTTATTATTATTATCTCCCTTTCATTCACCGTATATTCTCCTCTTTATTTATTCATTCAACAAATATTTATAAGTGATGATTCTATGGCAGGCAATGTGCTAGGTGTTGGGAAATAATAATGAATAAGACTGACAAATCCTGACCAAATAAAGCTCAAGGAATAAGTAGAAATATACAATATGTGGGATATAATAAGAAATTAAGATACAGTAAGGTGCAAAATTTAGTAGTAGTACCAGGTGATCTAAAGATACAAACTGAACAAGATCAAGGAATATTTGCTGAACAATTAACAACTGACAACTTGAAAGAAGAATCAACACCCCACCCCCTTTTTGCCCCCCAGATTAAGAGGAGAGGAAAGTGTTCTTGATAGACAAGAGAAAAAGAGCATGGCATGTTCTAAAGATAGATGAGAATGCTCAGGCCATTTAGTGTGAGGATAGAAGTAAGCAGTCCTAGAAGTAGAGAGATAAATGATGCCTGGGTGACTTTATCTTTTTCCAGAACAGAAGGTCCTTCTCCAGTATACTGTTGGGGAAGGTGAGTTAGTGAGCCTTTGCATTTGAAAGGTCAAATGCTTGGTCTTTTAGGTCAGTTCAGGTCTGCACAAAAGGTGAATGATAGCTCTGTGGGTGATAACCTTCTATGGCACTATCTGAGTTTTTCTCCAAATCAAGAAAAGGGCATGCACCCAAGTCAGTAGACCTTGGGGAATGAACACTGCTGTCTGTCCTTCCTTGTCTTCTGATGGCCATGCTTTTTATTGCCAATGAGAGAAGTCGTTCTTCTTCAGTAGACTGTTGGGGACTGAGACATAGTGAGCCTTTGCATGAGGACAGTTTTTTCTGGGCTTGCATTTTGCACACTGGGTACTATGGCAACATTCTGGATGAAAAAAAATATGATCAGTATGCAAATCCTCATCACTATCATTATAAGGCAGTTAGATTTCAACACATTAAAGGAGTATTTTGTAATTATACTGAACATATTTATGTTTACTACATTTTCTTGTCTCAATTTTAAATTAAGCAGACTCATTTTTAATGTGAAATCTGCTTGTGTTGAACAATTTAGGAATAGATAATGACTCCCTTTACATTTAGGTGATGTTGAAAAGTTGTGTGTGTTTATGTTTTTTCCCATCTTTTCACCATTTGGAAACAGAAAAATATAACAATCTGCAAACACAACAAACAACTTCTATTTTTGTAATTATGTCTTACTCACTTATTTAGCCTAAAGTATATTTTATAGTGCTTATTCATGACACAATTTTTTTTGGGGGGGGCATGGGGGTGAATCTGTACCTGTGAAGTGAGACATTAACACAAAGTCAGTATCAGAATTGAATTGAATTGGAGTACAGATAGTGGCTTTATATCTATATCTATTACACAAATTTACGCAAATACAAACTTCTGTGGACATCACAGTGTACAAATCAGAGTAAAAACAGTTCACACCATTACTAGAAAATTGGTTTTTTGCTCAGTATGTTCAACTGGAGATTTCTAAAGAACAAAACTCTTATACTGTCATTGTCTAAAGTTTCAACTCAATCTCTCTCTAATGAAATCTATCTATAGAACCAAGGACTGAATGAATCTCTATCATTTGCCAATAGTTAGAGTTATTGTCATTAAATTGTGTTTCTTTTGATGTACATTTAGACATTCACATATTTATCATAAGTTTGTATCATACTCCTCTCCACACAAGCATCCTTTTGATCCAACCCATTGGACAACTAACTAATCACATATTGTATTAGACTTGACTTCTAATTTTGTATTTATTATGGCTTAATTCTTATATTGTTAAACATTTCTTAATTAAATATTTAAGTCTCTATCTTCAAGAATAGCCTGGATGTTTCTCTCTTAATATCGCAGCAGGGGCCTGGTATAAAGGAAGTAAGTATAGTTTGATCTGCTTTGTTAACATTTGGCTCATGTTGGGCATGAAAGAAGACACTCTGTGACAAACACCTACCTGTGAGCATGCCTTCATTTACCACACAGCTGCCATCGATGAGAATCGCATCACAAGGCAAAGACAATTTTCCTGGAAGAGTAAGAAGGTCTCCAGGAACCAAAAGACGGGATTCTAGCTCCTGCAAACCTATACAACAGTAAAGTTTCCATGACTACCTGATCTTTTCCTTAACTTAAAAAAGAACAAGACTGAGAGACTGAGAACTGTGAGCAACCCTTGGCTAGAAGCCACTCTGCTGACTCATCTTTCCTCTCATTTGCAAACTTCCAAAGAACGAAGATTAGGGCCATACTAAAGCATTAAATCAGCAATAAGATTCTCTTGCTATACCAGGGGCAGGGACAATGTTCTGCCCACAGAAGATACTCCAGAGCATTCCTTGACTACTGCTCACTCTACTGTGGCACACCCAGTCTTTGCTCTGGGCCTAGTTTACCCAGGCATCTCTGTTGCCCTGGGTTTCAGCTCCCCACTATTGTTGGGGTGCAATGATCACCTGTCAGCCAGATCAGAGCAAATGGCAGGTGTCCAAGAAACTGTCCACAAGCCTCTCCCAGACCTGGGTTTCAGACAATAGATCAAAATCTTTCCTGCACATTCAGTGTGGGACTATTAGTTGGGAATATCAAAACATCTTAAGAAGGCCTATTGAGTAACATTCAAATGAGTGCTTTATGAGGGTTCATGGAATTTGAAGTAACCTAGACACTGAGTAGCTACAGTTTAATCAAGGGCGGGACAAAATAAAGCACAAGAGGCAGCAAGGTACAAAATCCAATAAGGTGTACATTCTCAAGGATCTGTCCTAGAGTACAGATGAATGTGTGCAAGGCCTTACCTCCTGATATATCTTAGATGCTTTCTTTATCTAACCTTAGCCCCAGTCCTAAGTTCAAGAAGACATTTTCTCTTTGGCATACAATCAACACAGTTATGACTGAATCTACCCTAAAATACTAAGATGCTGAAGAAGGCAGAATGTCACTTACCTTTGCTTTTTACGATGGTCATAACCTGAACTTTGTTGTGACCTTCCACTAGGTTGTGCAGCTTAATGGATTGCTATCAATTGAAAGGCAATGGTTACATTTCAGATAGCTCATATTCTGAAAACTACATGATAACCCATACAGTACCTGCCAAAACTGCTGTCACAGCCAAAACAACTCCTCTAGGAAAAGAGGAGTTCTGGTGTTGATGTTCCTGCTTCCCTGCCCCAACTCCCTACCTGCAGCTGCAAAAATGCTCGTAAGTTTAAAAAAAAGATTTCAATGCCAGAATAAATAATGCACATTCACGGCCTCTCAAAAACTTCTGTTAAGCAACCATGCACACCTTTGCTTCTTAAATATACACCATCAAACAAGGGGAGAACAGGGAGACCACAGCAAGTAATTTGCCCACTCTTTGCCTCTGTTTCCCTGTCTGTAAAACAATAAAGTTGACTTTGATCTGTAAGTGGCTTTCCATGGAAAATTCTGTCAATGTTTAGGCTGTATTTTGGTTGTGTATGGAACAGTCATCCCCTCTATTACGAACTGGTGGGTTTTCATTTAAGTAAGTAGACAGGCTGCAGTCTTGCTGCTCTGTTTGGAATCTTGGTGCTACCACTCACAAGTTGTGTAGCCTAAGTCTTTACTCCTCATCAGAAAGTGGAGATAATAGCAGTATGTACTTTATAGGCTTGTTTTAAGTTCGTTAATGCTTATCTTATTGAATCCTTACTCAATACCAGAGCAAGAACCCAATGAGTATTATTGATGATTAAGAAAGTCATGGTCAGAAAAGCAGTGTCTGAGTGTACCCTATAAAAAGATCTCTGGAGGTGGAGTTCAAAGAGAATGGGAGCAGTCTTTCATAGGATAACTCAGAGGACAAGGAAGCAGCAACGAGAGGGGATGTTGTCCACATAGGTCCCATACTAACTGTCAGGGGCACCATCAACTGAAGAGAGACTCCTTGTTGGGGTGATGGGCATCCCTGGAAGACCCCTCTCTGTAAGGATATCAGTAACTTGGATACTTCTAAGTAGAGTCGGTCTGGACACTGTCAACAATTCCTGAACACAGCTTCATCTAACTCAGAGATACATTTTTCATCTAGATTTTGGAGTTAATTATATTTATCTGTTCTGTTGAAGATTTTTCATGTTACAAGTATCACCAGACTAAGACAAGCATTACACACAATTATGCAACTTTCCTCTTGAGAGAACATGATGAACTCAGTGTTAATATTTATATAGATCAATATGTTATTTACTTCAGTTTTCCATGAGAAACTAAATTTCAATCATTTGAACCAATTAAGTGGACAATATGATATCACTTTTGGGTACACATGCATTGTTCAGAAAGTGCTAGCCTGACTTCCTGAGACTTGCCTATGGGTTTTAATGTTTGATAATGGTGAGAAAGTCAGCTGTGGTTTTGCAGCAGGAATACTGGATTCAGCCAGCACTCCTGAGTTGTTGGTCAGGCTTACCCACTAGCTCATCACCCCATCTATAAAACATCTCACCATATGAGTTCTTTTTTCTATACAGAGATGACAATGAATTAGATCATGTAAAGTTCCCAACATGCTCTACAATGGTGTAATACTGATTTATTTTGCACATCAGAAATTTATTTATAAGCTTCAAATGTCATTTAAGAAATGTCCTGGACATAGAAATGACTAAGGTTATTATTATTTTTAAATAGCTTGAGAACATTAGACAGCTACTATATGCCAGGCACCATTGTAGGAACTTCAGATATAGTGTTTTTGTTGTTGTTGTTGTTTGTTTGTTTTAAAGATTTATTTATTCATACAGAACTGGGGTACAGGCCAGAGATGCGGAGGGTGAGAGGATTCACCAGAGACAGAGTGGAGAGCAGAACAGGCAGATCAACGAAGTCCACTGCTAAGGGAAGCAGCAGGCGGGTCAGGAGAGGTCTGCCACGCCATGTGGTCACCTCCAGGGAAGGTGGGGATCGAACCCAGGTGGAAGTGGCTTAAACTTCCCAGTGCTGTGCTTTAACCCACTGTGCCACCAGGGAGAGCCCTGTTTTTTTTTGTTTGTTTGTTTTTTATCCTCAGAATATCTCTGCAGAGAAAACGTTACCTTCAATGTACATAGAACAAAAAAAAAAAAAAAGAGTTTGAAAACTTTAAAATAACTTGTCACAATCATTTATTTGCATTTATTTAGCTCAAAGTGGTGTGATAGACAGTCAAATCCAGGTTCATCTGACTCTACAACTTTTCTCTTGATGAATATGTTTTCCTAAAGTGCTTGGAAATTGTTATTTTCCTTCAAGAAGATAAATATTCTTTTTTTAAAAATTTATTTGTTGTTTTCTTATTTAGTAAACTCCGTGAATCAATACCATAATAACCTCAACCTAGCTTAGGAAGATGATAATAAACACATTTGGATGGTAAAAATGAGTTAATAATGCTTGACTATAATTCTCGAAGCTCATTTTAGTATAGTGCTGGATTTGTTTTCCCAGACTTTGCATTCTGCGTAAACTCCCATGCTTTTGCTCAGGCTATTCACCCAGTTTTCTACTACCAAACTTTCTAATCCTTCACATAAAGCCCTGCTCAAAAGTCACCTCCACTACATAAGTCCCCAGTCTCCCCAGGAGGAATGAATTTCTCTCCCTCTTTTCATACTGCTCACATTCCATCAATTATCTGTCTGCTTGTCAAGCCTGCCCCGGAATCAGGTTGTTTAAAGAAGAAAGGAATCATACATATATCTACGTATCCCCCCAAGTTTATCATAGAGTAGGCTCTCAGAAACATCACTTTAATGGAACTGAATTATTCTACTTCTTCCAACAACACTGGAGTAGTATAATGTGAACAACCACTTTGAGCTAATGAACTCAGAAACTCTACAAACATGGGTTTCTATGACAACCAGTCAGCTAGGAGAAAGCCAGTGTTGTGATGCCATGATTTTGAAGCTCGATGCCTGATTTCACTAAGCCCCTCTGGTTTCTACAGTCCCTGTGCAGTGGGACTGGGATCCTTTTCCAAGACTAATTTGCATATTGTTATTATTCGGCATCTGTTGCTCTATGTCCTTGTGTTTGCTGTGGCTGAATTTCTTCCAGAGATGAGTGATGAGAGTATTACTTCAGGTAGCTCTTGAGCCTGACTCAGTCATGACTGAGGCAAAGCACTATGGGCAGGGTACTCAGAGCTATTTCTAGCAGCAACTTGTGGAGCCAGCAATGGAATAGGCAGTACAATTCAATGTAAATACAGCTGAGTACCAAGGTTTTCATTCACAACTGCACCAAACTTGTTAGAAAGGGACCACGGCAGGGTGTTTCTCAGCTTTCCTGAAGTAAAATCTCTGTGCCAAGCATATTTTGGGGCTGGAGAAGATACAGGAAAATAATTTAATTGACTCCTGCCAACATTTCCCTTCTGATAATTTTCAAAAGCAGGTATTTGTTTAGCTAAATCTTTATTTTAGTAAATGGTGAAGTTCAGTGCAGCAAATAGGATGATTTGGATATTAGCATTATGAGCTCCTTTCACTCCTGCCAACACTTTCCCAAATTTGCTTTTTATTGCAACAATCATTATGGCTGCAAGAAGCTCACAGGTCACTTTGAGATGCCTCAGAGTACTTGATTTGGAGGCAGGACACTCAGGGCTGAGGTCTACAATCATTGTTCCCGGGAGAGGCTGGGCAGGCCCACTTCACCTGCCTCTGTAGCGAGGGGAAGAAACACTAATGGCCTGTGTGTCACTTTACGGTGTCATTTTTGGTGTGCCCTCCACCAGCGAATCCCTTATGGATGTGGGAGTCCAGTGCACACTGGGAAGTGTATACAGCTATTGACATGTGAGTATTTTGCAATTTAAATGGCAAGAATACTGTTCCCAGAAACTGGCCCATTTTGTATAGTGTTACAAAATGTTTTACAGGTTGGGCCAGATCAATTTTCATTAAGTACTGTGTGCTAATGGAATTAGTGTCTATCCTCTGGCTTTTACTCTTCTCTTCAGAGAAAACTTCTGCAATACTACCATCAAGTTCTAAGTTCCAAATCAGTCATTGACTTGCACATAGGCATGTACAGATACTGTAAAATCCAGAAGCTGAATGTTTAAATTCCATTTAGCATTTAAAATACATATTAATCAAATTATAAGTAGAAAAATATGGTGTACATAATTATAAGAGATCTTTATATTTCCAAGCAAAGCAGGAAACCCTGAAATCGCGAAGGAAAAAACATATGTATTTGGTAAACATTGTAAAGGAATTTTAAGAGAGACTGAAATTGATAGTAAGCACATAGATGGAAAAAGGGTAGACAAAGACAGTATTTAAGTCAGAGAACTATGTGGAAACATTCTAAAAAAAAGTATCAGACATCAAGACCATATTTACTTGGAGCTAATGAACTGCAAATAACAGAAACTAGTTAAACTGGTTTAAGCAGAAAATAGACACTGATGAGGAGGCAGGGGTGCACTGTGAAACCCTGAGCAAGCCCAAAGCCTGAGAATGGTGGACAGGTAACAACTAGCTGTCCTGTTAGTAGACACTTCATCAAAACCAGAAACTAGAAATTCTGTTTGCAAAGTTCACATTGCATACCTTCATCAAATAACAACAGTAAAAGCTTTAGATGCTATGACTTGTTTCCTCCTGTAGCTGAGTATATGTCAGACCTTTCAATTTCCTGGTATTTTATTTTTACTTTGGCTACAATGCTCAGAGTCACCAGAAGGACAGTCTCTTTCCCCTGATTTTGCAGCAGGTAGGAAGGGTTTGCCATCATCAGAATCAGGTTACTGGTCACTGTTAATGCTTTTGTGATTTAAATTAGCTTATGAAAGGGCACTCTCTGGCACTCATTTTTTTTAAAGTCTGCCAGAGGCATAAGTATTAGCTTTGATTTTGAGTTAAGAAGCATTGGCATTACAAGATAAACACAGGCTCAATGATGGATTATTCTGTTTTTTAAATGCCTGTAAACTATGCATAGTATTTCTTTAAAAATAAATTTTAAGAATAAAATACAAAACAAAACAATAAAAACCCAGATGAACAAAAAAAGAAAACTCCAAGTTGTGGTCATGACTCTGTGCTTCAAACATCTTCATTCATTTCTAGGTGCTTTATTCTAAGTCTTTAAATACATATTGCCTTCCTTTCATTTCTCATTCAGCACTTCATAACTCAAACTTTGTAGGCTCTAACACCAGATTAAAAAGCCAATATTAGTCCTAATATTTGTTGAGTAACTAAAGTACGGCAGGAATAAAAGATCTCTTTCAGTTACACTTGTTTAAGTACCTCTGCAACTGACAGAGTGACTTGCGCCACAGCGTATGCTGACCACAGCTGAAGTTCATCTCTCCTCTCATGCTGACATTTGATCCTTATCTCCAGCTGCTGGTGTCCAACTTTGGAAAGGGCTTTCTTCTCTGGAAATACTGCACATGCAGTCAGGTAAATGCTGGGGAGACCAGTATGTCCTGAATGACTCTACTCATTGGTGACTCCACCCCCACCTCCACTCCAAAGCGATCCCAGGCACCTGGGTGCAACCATCATGCCAGGAATCTGCCTTGACTCTTGACTCTTGAGTTCTTGAAGGGGAGATAGTTGGGAACTAAGGGTGGAGTTAAGTAGCCATGCTTGGCATAAAACCAAACCTGTGTGGGTCTTCATTTCACCAGCCTTCACCATGCACTTCAGGGCCATGCTCAGGCAGTGTTACTAGTAAATAGGACATACTGAGCAATTAAAAGCTCCCTCTGTGTGTGTTTGAGTGTGTGTACACGTACGTGTGTCCTGCCTCTTTTCATTTCTCTTACAAATAAGTCTTTTATTAACCTTTCTATGTGTGCCTGGCCTTGGGTCTTATTCTAGTTTTTTTAAAACATGAGGTGAGGACTCACACCCCGGCCATACCATTTCCCTTGTAGGCTGCCCTATAACAAAACAAAACAAAAGAGTGGAAAAAAATGTTCAACCAATGAAGATATTAGTAAAGAGCTGTACTGGGATCTTGGTGTTTGAATTTGCCTTTTGGTGGATTGCTCGATAGCATTAGCAATTAAGCCTTTAGAAAGCATAACGATCACCTGTGATGAAACTGCTAAAAGTACAGCTTACTGCTATTATCCTGAATATTTTATTTAATAGGTCAGGAATTCAGGACTCTCAAATAAATTCTCTCACTGAAATATATACCTGTGGAGTATAGAATCAAACTTAAATTTTTATTCTGTAGTTCTTCCCCTCACTTATACACAGAGATTCCTATATATCATCTGGGCTTCCTTAAAGAAAGATCCACCTGAGTTTCAAAGGAAGACATGGACATTTTATGTCATTTTATGGGAGCCAAAAACCTGATTCTACTGCAAAGACACTCTAGGGTCTGAACAATCTCTTGAGCATCTGAAATTCCTTTAGATGAATGATGAAGTTTGAGTCAGTTCAACAGTTCAGTAGAGTTGACAGAAGGACACAAGTACCATTGTCTCTGTGTCTAAAAAACTGTACAGTCAAGTTTTAAAATATATACCCACCTGCACTGAGATATCTTTTTTAAGGTTGCCTCCTGATTCAGTCTCATAAGTCATAAGCAAAGTGACAGAATATCTTCTAGAAAGATGCTATGCAGAGCTGAGACTTAGCGAGGCTGTGGAGGTATAAGTAATATCCTGCTAATATTCTATTTCAGAATGTATTGTTTTATCATTTCTATGGCTGATTTTCTTTAACGGAAGATTTTATATTGCTATAAGAGGAACAATAATGATAAGGGAGAATGATTGTGAACCATGAACTGATGAACATGAATGAAAAAGTGTTTGCATTACAAAAGAGTCTCAGAATTAGGTGGACAGCCTTAGAAGGCTTGAGATATAGGAAGAGAAGTGTGATTTTCTTAGACTTGTGCTCTGAGTAAGACTATGCTTGCCTGAAAAACAGATGAAGCGGCTACTGAAAGTTAAACTGGAGTTCAGAATGGGACAACATTTAGGTACAAGGGGAAATAAAATAGCACATCTCGCACATGAAGGAACACAGATTGATATATCTGAATTAAAAGAGCCAAAGAAAGAAGGTTTGGAGACAGATGAAACCCTGTGGTTGCGACCATCTTTTGCTTCTAGCTGGCCCTCCCTGAATCCGTTGTGAGACACTGACACTGGGAGATATTGTTGAGCACAGAGAAGGTCCAGCTCTTCATCTGAGATCCTGGACCCTGAAGGGAAAGTAAGCCTGAGCTGCCATGTCCATCTTTGCCACAATAAAGAATCTCTATGAATACACAGTCTACATTTAATAGAACATTTTTCCCTCAAACCATAATTACTAGAGAAGTGAACTTGTTTGGTTACTGTTGCAATTTGAAGTTACTATAAAAATTTTTAAATAAATCTCTACTCTCAAGTTCAACAGTACTTACTACATCACCAGCAGATAATGAATAGCTTGCAGGTCGGGCCATAGACCACGCTTTCAGGAGCACTGTCATAAGCAGGGTTGATACAAGAGAGAGATATTTTCCCAATACTGTTTGAGTGCCTGCAACCATCCATGCTCAGAGTAAAAGGAACCCTGAAATTGCTTATGTGAGTTGCTCAACTCAGCTCAAATTAGGTTTTTATCACTGCTCACTGAAAGAGTCTTGAGTAGGAGGCACAGTTAGACGCTGCCTTTATCCAACTAAAATTATGGCTACCATCAATAATCCAGGAGAGCATTTTTTTTTCCACATACTCAGACACAGCCTGAAGTCCTTCTAGACATAGCCTTCCATTGATAATCAGCATTTGCAATAATGCTTAACTTTACTGGTATGTCGGAAGCCCACCTGCTGAGATCCCAGATTCAATAAGCCCTTTTTTGTTTTGTTATGACTTATGTTTAACAAAGCTATTCTTTGTTCTCAGTGGAAACTCAATAGGTTCCACTTCTAGTGCAGCCAGAAGCTAAAAAGAAACAACTATGATTTCAGCTCTTACCTGTCGCAAATCATACACACTTAAAATAATGGATAAAACAGACAAGATGATGATGGCCACAGAATATTCTATATAACCTTGAGACAGCCACAGAGTTAAGGTGAATGCTTGGAATGCATAGAATGGATTTAAAACCTGTGGATACAAAAATAACGTTTAGATCACTTGCACAGATTTTAGTAGCAGTCTATATGATGCCATTTCTTTATAGCATGCTTTTCCCAATTTTTACAAGATACATCAGCCTCTATAACAATTCGCTTGGAACTTCATTAATTTTAGTAGAGGCAATGACAAGCACATAGAATATGATGTGATAGAAACAAAATTATTTTAAGCACTCAGAGCCACGCTCAAAAATTGACTGTTCTCAATTATTTTGAATTTTCAAAAATATTTGACCAATAACCAAATCCAACAATTTACTTTTTCAATCAACTTTACCCACATTGGAGGAGAAACACATTGAGTTTCTTTTTAAAATAAACTTCAATTTTGAATATTTTATTGCATTTTTTTCCATATAACTACAAATTGCAGATTTAGTCAAGATTGTAATGTCAGTAAAAGACTCCACTTTTTTTTATATAACAGATTATTTTTACATCATTTTGTAAAAACATTTTTTTTTCCACCTCAATTGTAATCCCCGCGGGTTTCCCATCACCATATCACCCATGTGCCATCACCATAATCCCGTGTACTTCCCTCTCCATCCCCCCATTTTTGATCCCATTCCCCACTCCACCCCCACAAAATGTCTCTGGTATATGGTTGTTCATTATTTTTGTTATTTTCTCGCCTGGTCCATTATACTCCCGCTATGAGTGAAACCATCAAGTATTTTTAAAAGACTCCACTTTTATTCACATCATTTAAAAATAAATACTCTTTTGATCGGAGGTCTAAGAAAGTTCCCCTGAGGGGCAGTCAAGTCTGCCTGGGTCTTCCCTTTTAAGAAGGGAAAACAGTGAAGAGAAAGAACTTCCCAAAGCTGCAGTGAAACTTGAGGGAGGATTCCATTCCCAAAATGGTCATCTGTGCATGTCTTGTTTAGCCCCTTGAATACACCTTCAACTTTTGTATGCCTCCACTTTTATTCCTTAATGTGGGTCCTGCTGACTCCTCCATTAATAACCATAGCTGGAGGGTAAACCCAAGGATGCCAGAGAGGTCATGTGACCCACATGCACCAGGGGAATTACAGAGATGTGAGCAAAGCAGGGCACATTACATTGCCTTTTTTTTTTTTTAAGACTTATTTATTTATAAATAAATAAGAGCTGGGGTACAGGACAGAGATGCAGGGGCAGTGAGAGGATTCACCAGAGACCAAGTGGGGAGTAGAGTAGGCAGATTGATAAACTACACTGCTGAGGGGAGCAACAGGCAAGACAGGAAAGGTCTGCCGTGACTGTGGGACACGAATCTCATGCTGAAGTGGCTTGGGATCGAACCCATGCTGAAGTGGCTTGGCTACCTTCATAGTGCTTCGCTTTAACCTGTTAAATCACCAGGAAGGGCCCTGCCTTTGATAACTATTATCTATCAGATGAAATAATAGCTAATATCAGTGCTGTTCTTTTCTACTTCCACTCTCTATAATTCTTTAAAATATATTAAGTAAACTTGTACTTGAGTCCTGAAGATGAACTGATATCTGACTAGTAAGTTAATGGGCTGTATCTTAACAGTTTCTTAAACCCTTAGATATATTTTGTACATTAAAAAGCTTTAGTTCCTTAATGGTTTTTATTATTTCCCTTTAAAAGAAAGTTTTGTTACAAATTATAGCTCTTGTATTTGGGCAGCATCAAATGCTCTAATTGTAGATGATGCATTAATGATAAAGCAATTCTGGGTTTATATAAACTTAGTAGAAAATTGGCTAAATACTTCTTATAGAAAAAACACCACCATGATAATTAATTTAGCTCTCTTATTCAATGTGAAGAAGCAGTTTTACATGCTTTGTTTTCTATTAAAAACCTATAAAGTGTCATCGCCCCTTTCAAAATAGACAAAATTGACACCTGAGGAAGTCTTTGGTCACTTAATAATGTAATTGTATAAATTTAAAAAACAGCTTTTGACAATGGGGGAGGGGAGACTGTGTCTATGAGGGAACTCGGTACCTTCCATTCAATTTTTCTGTGAATCTAAGACTTCAGGGGAAAAAAAGCCCAATCAAACATTTATTTTAAAAAGATAAAACTGTATTAAAAGAAATAAAATGATCACTGTCGCAGATCAGAAATAGAATAGGAACAGTCAGTATAGAGTGGGGACAGATTTGATAGCCATACTGGGTTCCAGACAAGGTCTGAAGGGCAACAGCAAGAAATTCACTGTTAGGGGCAATGATAGAGAAAGCCCCAGAAGTATAAGGAGTAAAGCCAGAGCTTGCAGAGGAAAACAGTAGTAGAAGAGGCTCCCTTGCTTACTGGAGCAGAGGCTGAGCAGAGTCACAACCATCAAAGTGGGGAGTTGCCCTAATCTTGCACCTACCAGACTCCAGAGAAAGAGCCCCAACCTTCAATATTGGCTCAGGTTCTGAACTGGGGACTCATGAGGAATAAGTAAGAAGCAGAAGAATCCTCAAAAAGGGATACTAAGCAGACCGAAAAGGAAAACAGAGGGGAAATTTCACTTAAGATGAGTTCGCCAAAAGTAATAATAGTAACTTCAAAACACACAAGGAAAAGAGTCTTAAAGGCAAAACAAACCCACTCATAAAGGAAGAAGTCACTGGTAAGAAAATAGAAATAACAGAGAAACACAAAAAAGACCATACTGAGATGTTTGAAATCCTCAAAGAGCTCATAGCAATAACACTGCACCATCACCACTACTACAAATTCCATCAAAAACTTAAGAAAACAAAGAGAGATGAGATTATGAAACAGGATCCTGTCCCTCACACTGCAAAGAAATTTTTAAAGTGTTTTTAAATTTTAAAAATGTGGATATTGAAAAGGAAAACTTAGGGGCCCTCCCTGGTGACACAAGTTAAGTGTAGCACTGTGAAGCTACCTGCAGCCGCTTTAGCAAGACTTCCATCCCCAGCCAGCTGACCCAGATGGCGCTGCAGACCTCTCCTGACCTGTCCACTGCTTCCCTCAGCAGTGTACTTCGTTGGTTTGCCTACTCTGCTCCCCTCTCTATCTCTAGTGAATCCTCTCATCTCCCCTGCACCTCTAGGCTATATCCCAGTTCTGTGTGCATAAATAAATAAATCTTTAAAAAAGAAAGAAAACGAATCCTTAGAATCCTGGAATAAAACACACACACACATATCTAAATTATAAAAAGAAAGAAAATCTCAATATACATGAAAGATACAGACAAAGCAAAGCAGGAGTAAACGAAGGAGGTTGCATGCAATGCAGATGATGTTTATAGCCAAGTATTCATGTGTGTTGTCAAGGTTACCCTGAGTACTAGGAAGAAAAATGTAAAGGCAGGGTCACATTTATTTTTCACAGGGAAGTTACCTGTTTAACAAGAAGTTTCCATATGGGCTGAATTTCCACCTCGATGGCATTGGGCCCGCACACTAATCTTCTGTGGAAGAATGGCCTCAATTAATGTCATATGCTCACTGATAGGTGGATAGGTGGCTACAGGACAAATAAAGCAGAGGCCACTTCTCTTCCCCTCAGGGGCTTTGTGCAATGAGTGTGCAGGTCCTAAACTACTACTATACTTTTAAATGATAGTGCATGATGGATAAAGTTGTTTTTCAGGTTATAAAAAATATCTTAAATACAGTATAACTCAAGAAAGTGCTAGCATTCCTTTCAAAATAGGCCAATTTTGAAGTTACAAAGGTATTCTGAGTGACTTTTTAAATAATTTGATTGTATGTTAAGAGCAGCTAAGAAGACAGAATTCCTAGAACTCTCAGGCATTCTGGCTGGTTCTTTATGTTAGAGATGGTGTCTACCATACCTGGGTATGCTTGCCTGCAGCAGCTGGAACAGCCTGAGCATATGAACTCAATGAGTGTGGGAATGACTGAGCTGACAAGCTGGAAGGGCCGCATGACCTCGTGGCTGACACCTATACACCTCACTGTGCATTAAACATGGAGCCCTTCTCCTACACAGCATTTCATAGTTTACAAAATTGTTATCAAATACTTGTAAACACTTCATCTCTAACAACCATATCTGTGCATGAGACATCTGAGATCCAAATGAGCTAGCATTGGCCTCTATATTTGTTCCTTCTACCTCAAGCCAATACACCATTTCTGTGCCTGGCTGCCCCTCATTTCATACAGGTCTGAGTTCAAAATAATACCCCTTTATTGGATTCTTCCCCACTAATTCTCTTTAAAATAGCTACCTACCTCCTCAATCACATTCTGTTTATCTCTGTAAATTACACCATTTTTTTTTATTACAAAGTTTATTTTTACATCATTTTGCACATTTTTTTTTCCATCTCGATTGTAATCCCCACGGGTTTCCCATCACCAAATCACCCCTTGTGCCACCACCATAGTCCCGTGCATATCCCTCCCTTCCCCTCCCCCCCCCCGTTTTTGATCCCATTCCCCACTCCACCCCCACAGAATGTCTCTGGTATATGGTTGTTCATTATGTTTGTTATTTTCTCGCCTGGTCCATTATACTCCTGCTATGAGTGAAACCATCCGGTATTTTTCTTTCTCTTTCTGGCTTATCTCACTAAGCATGATCTTTTCCAGCTCCATCCAAGTTGCTGCAAAAGACATGTGTTTCTCTTTTTTGGTTGCTGAGTAATATTCCATTGTATATATGTACCACATCTTTCTAATCCTGTCATTTACTTTTGGGCATTTGGGCTGCTTCCATGTTTTTCCAATTGTAAATAAAGCAGCAATAAACATGGGGGTACAAGTATCTTTTTCAATCAGTGTTTTTGTGTCTTTTGGGTAGATACCTAGGAGTGGGATTGTTGGGTCGTAGGGAAGCTCCATGTTTAGCAGTTTGAGGAACCTCCAAACAGTTTTCCATAGTGGTTGTACTAGTTTGCATTCCCACCAGCAATGCAGGAGAGTTCCTTTTTCTCCACATCCTCGCCAACATTTGTTGTTGCTAGTTGTTTGAAGATGTGCCATTCTCACTGGGGTGAGGTGGTATCTCATTGTGGTTTTAATTTGCATCTCCCTTATTACGAGTGATGTTGAACATTTTTTCATATGCCTGTTGGCCATCTGCATTTCCTCTTTGGAGAAGACTACACCATTTTCTTTCTGGTGCATTTGATAGTGTGAAACTGCCTTTAAGTTTTACATTATTAAACATGCAAATGTCAGGCTGTACCCGCCAATACAATAAGCTCGCAGAGGACACCAATATATCTTGAATGTTTAAAATAGAGACAATACGTAAGAACACACTCAAGAATTCTGTGTTAAATAAATGAATTCATGGAGGGAGGAGCTTGGTGTCCTTCTCTCTAAAATAGATTTGATAATGCATTGCTATCAGTAGCTTGAGACAAAGATGTAAATCTTTATGAGCACAAGACCTAGGATGACTGCTACCTTTGCAATCTTCCCTACTCCAGCAGGTACAATTAACTATTTTCCTCCAACAATCCTTCTTTACTTATAGCACAAATTTCTTTGAACTACAGTAAAACATAAGGTTACATATCTTACTCCTCAAATTTCCTAGAAGCTCTTAATGGCAGGAATGAAGGCTTTTAGCTATTTTCTGGCTTCCAGAAAGACTAAGGAAAGTTTGTTTTCTAGATAGAGAGTGATAGTGAGTATGTTCTCTAAATATTGGAATTAACTATGAGGACCTTTGCGACTCACATCTGAACACTGTCTCCCCTAACAAGACTGAAAAACTAGTTCATAGCCAGACTGTGAAAGGCCAACTAAGGAGCCCGCCATGTGCCCTCCACTAACCCTTTCTTGTGGAATGATTTCTGCTATTACTGGCAATAGAACCTCAACTGCCATGAAGATTGACATCCCATAGACCAATATTTGCACAGATTATCTTAGGGCTCAACAGCATCAAAAATGAAGCTCAGCCCATCACACCCTGGGCTACTTCAATTTTTCTACTATTTCTTGCCTAAATAGTAGTGTTTTCGAGGTTGTGTACTCATTTCAATGTCAGCACAAGTCAAACAAAACTTTCAAGGACATAAACCAATGGTCGAGCAATCGGAAGGAACATGAGATTCAAGAGTGAGTCACATAAGGAAAAGTCCAACGTACAACAGAGATTCCATGCCCAGACTTTAAAAATCTAACTGGCAGGGAGACGAAGCCTTAGATTTATTTCAGGTAACCCTACCTGGAAACAAAAGGCTGAATAAAATTAAGTCCATTTGCCAGTATTCATCAGAACAATGCTTTGGAGGCAAAGATCCCTCTCTCCAAAGGCTAAAATAGCACACAGAGAGGCCACACTGACCTCTCTGCCTCCATCCCAAGAAGCTGTCAATAGCCCCTTGGCAGAGAAGATTAGTTTTTCCCAACAGTTAGCACTAAGCCAGATGACTGCATGACCCACTTACATGCACTATAATTTCTAGGCAATAGATTTAGAGTTTGAAAAAGTTCCCAGATGACTTTGCTGGCCAGTCCCCCGTCACCCCTAGCATTCCTCGTTTATAAAGGAAGGGAGACCTTAAAAATTCACAGATCCATAGGCTGTGACATTCAATTGCTAAGATGTGGGAATGGTTATACAGTAAAACAAATATGTGGGTCTGAGCGCCCACCATAAAAATAAATAACAAATAATGACAAGATTGGCATGCTTTTGAGAAATTGTTTTCTGGGGGGAGCTATATTTTAGCAGTGCTCATGCCAACTTCTGTTCTTCAGTGAAATATTTATGCCAGGAAGCTTCGTTTTACCAATGACATAAAGTCATTTTAGTTCTTCACATTAGTCCTCACCTGTGACCTTTCCATTTCTTTCATTTCCAAGTCTGTTTTCTAGATAGAGAATATCAGAAAAAGGTTCTTACAGGATTTCATGTGGTGTATAAGCTAAGTGAGGGGCTTGCAGTCAGCATTCTGGAGGAAGTTCCTGGAGCATTTTCAGGCATGAGGATCTGGAAAGCAGAGCACCAGGGGGACACTGGGATGGAGGTGGGGGTACAAAGAAGCCACAGACAAGATCTCCCTTGGGAGCCCAGGACTTAGACACACTGGTGCTGCCGTAGATCTTCTGTCTTTAATAGCCCATTGGAGTTAAGTGATTTTACACTTACAGCACACCAAGAGCCAAGGAGTCCTGGGTCCAACAAATCCAGTTTATTATAAAGAAGATGCTGCTCTCAGTGGGTCATTTAATTTTTCTTAACTGCCCAGCTCAACAGTTGTATTTCAAAGTAACTTACTAACTTCTAAATTAAAACTGAGTTGAAACAATCTTATGGCTTCCAGAAAGACTGAGTGAAGTCTCTCTCTTCTACACCAACAAATCCTGTCTTGTTCCTTTCTCAAACATCTGAAATGATAGGCAAGGGTCTAAGTGGGGTTGTCTTCTAGGTATGGTACTTTCAAACTTCATGGCAGATAAGCACAATTTCTTTTCTGACTCTTAGTTCCTGAGAAGTAAGAGAGTTGAGTTTTATACAGTCCTAATCTTTTTCTCTCTCCACTCTCCTTTTTGCTTATTCTTTCTCACTCTTCCAATATTCTCTCTTCTCCTAGCTTCTACTATTTTGAAACTGAACATTGAGGACAAACCTACCCTCTTTTGCTACTGAATTTTTTGTTCTGGCAGAACAAGGATGCAGTTTTGCCCACTGGCATGACAAAAGTTGAGAATTAAGTCTGTTCCTGCAGAGTCACAGACCTGGGGTGAGCCAGTCTTCCCAACTCCGCCTTCAGAGATGTCATATTCATGACTTGGTGTCACACTCAACACATCCAACTGCTTTTTCTTCTAAGGAAATGAATAACCAACAAGTGGCAGTCTGGAGCTACACACACACACAAGGTGCCTGCATGTCTTCTGCCAGAAAGTTTCCCTTCTATTTTTAGGAAGTTTAACAAGGAAGTTGAGAGCAGGGTGGGCTGTGGGAAAAGAAGATGAGAAGACACTTGACTTAAAATTGTGTCAATAAGGTGATTACCTACGTGGATGTGGGTAAGGAGGGGTGCTTTCTTCCATAGGGTGCTTTTACCACAAGATAAGAAAATTACCTTATCTGTGGACCTGTACAAGACAGACAATAAGATGGAAGGTTGTGTACAGTCCAGGAATAAGTGAAGATAGGAGGAGGGAACCGCCTGGCTTGGTTCTGCTGCTTCTCTCTGAAGCTCTCTGACAATTTTTCTCCAGGGTACAGTTATCTCTCCTGATATACTGATTTGCTTTTGCTACTAAAAAGTGAAACTTGTATAAATTCAAGCCTTTATCCTCTGTGCTGGTTGTTAGGAAGCCAGAGGAGAAGGCCATACATAGACATTCTAGTTTTCTATCACCAGAGATTTTTGCTACTATTTCTTTTCCTTTATTTCTCATGTTATGCCCTTGGTTTATTTTTTTTTTAATAAGTTTTGTTGAAGTAACACTGTTATTCCCTTATAGATGTTTCAGGTGCATAGCACAGAATTTGACTCTGTATTCACTGCATCTTGTTCTCTATCAAAAGTTTCATTTCCACCACCAGGCACCAACTTTTCCCATTGTACCAATGCCTCCTTTGGTGACTACCAATCTGGCCTCTATATCTAAGAGTTTGCTTTTGATTTCTTTTATTTGTTCATTCACTCTGTTTATCTTCCACAATATGAAAATAATCATACAGTATTGTCTTTATCAGTTTGATTTATTTTACTTAGTATTAGTAGCTTCAAAGTCCATTCATGTTATTATTGCAAGATTAAGCTTTACGTATATGTGTATATATGTGATAGATGTATATATGTGTCTGTGTGTGTATATACACACACATATTTTTTTTTTTACCCGTGCACACCCTTTTGCCAATGAACACTTAGGTTATTTCTGTATCTTGTCTGTTGTAAATAATATCATGACATTGCTTTCCATGCAACAAAGTACAAATCTGTTTAGTAAATTGGTATCACTCAAATAATCAAGTACATTTAATTTTTTCAAAGACCTTGGTCTTACACTAAAAAATAAGGGGAAAATATTCCAGTTAACTTATTTTTTACCTTCTAAATAAATAAGCCCACAAGATAAAAAGTGTTTGTATGTTCTTAGGCAAATTGCTTCCTTTTTTCCTTTTTGTCTGTTGACTAGACTGTAAAGTTATTTATTACATAGACCAAATTTAAATTTAATTATGTATGATGTTTATTAAAGCTTGTCACTTGATAAATAAGGACAAATGTGAGGGAGCTACTCCAGTGGGAAATCTTTCCTTGGGAAATGGTTTCTGAGACAGAATATATCTTCATTTATCAACTAGATTTCCTAAATGTCCTATATCAATCCTTTAAATGTCTTGTGCTTAATGCTATTAGACCAATATGTTTTTAATGCCTTTGAAAACTTTTTTGTATTTCAATGTATTAGGCACTACATGTGAAATCATAAATGATACCATTTCTAGGGCATTTTTGCAATATTGTCATAGTCTTAGCTGCCTGGTTCATTTGTCATAGTATCAGGCAGAGGGAAAACTTAAAAGCAACCACAGATCACTAATTCTCAGACTTGGTATGAATAAAAATTATGGAGGTACTTGCTAAAAATGCAGTCGTTTTCTCTTACCACTATCCCCTAGCTCCTACCTACTAAAGTCAGAATTATGGGAGTAGAACCCAAGAAACTATATTTCAAGTATAAGACTGCTTCTTAACTGGAGAATTGGTATTTCTGCCTACCTGAAGAAGGTGAAGCAGCTAGTGTTCCTAAAATTGGGAAAGAAATGAAGGTGATTATTTAAATTCTAGGGAAGGCTCTCAATAATCCTCTTTCAGATTCATCAGGCTTCACTATTTCAAATTATAGACAATGGAAAGAGGCTGTCTAGATCACCGTGAGTTAAGGAGCAACACAAGAATTTCCTAAGCTATGTGCATCTGTAGATACCAATCTCGTGAATGTACTATTCCTGTCTCTTTTGCTCTCTCCTCAGTGAATGTCTCTGAGACAATGACATAGTTCCGTATATCCTTAGCTCCATAGCACTCGGGAAGTGCCTGGCATGCTAGGGACACTGAACTAACAGATGAATGAGTGCCTTCTTTTATTCATTCTTTCCACCAATATCTGTTGAATGCCTACCGTCAGTAAGGGTCTGTTCTGGGTGCTATAAATATGGTGGTGAAAGACACAACTAGCTGAGCAAATAAGGTCCTTATTGCCAGGACTGTTCTCCATAGTAAAATGTTATCATAACACTGTCTTTTTTTTTTTTATCTCTCAGAGGATATGGAGGATTAAAAAGCTGATGTTTATGAAATGATTTATAAAAAGGTTTTTTTGAGGAAAGAATAAGAGACAACACAGAAAGTCTGTTCTATAGTCCTGAGGAAAAAAACAGATCAAATGTTATTTGATTGCAGTGTTCCTTCAGTCTTTTCTTTTTAATAAGCTTTGCTAAGACAAGAACAATTTAGAATGTCTCTGATGACAGTAAATGAGCTGAGATTATATGAAGAAGATGAAACATTAGGCCAACAATTCACTGATGGGAAGTCATTTGATACTTCAATTTCTGCTGACAGAGATCACTCTCAGCGAGTACATACATAAACCCTACCTGATCTCTTGTTCTTCACTCGTCAGGCCCGATCCAAACGTATGATGGATGTCATAGCATGAGTTGCTGTCTTCCAGCAACCTAGGATACAGTCAGAACAAGGAATCATGTTTCAGTTCAGAACACTGGATTAATTGGCATCCTTCCCTTTTATGCTTTAGTAATGAAAATAAGTGGGACTTACCCAACTTTCTGAAACCTTTTCTCCAAATTGTCCCAAACATACCGAATTTTCTGCACTTGGATGTACCGCAACTGTAATTACAGATGTGATAGAACACATGTTACACAAGTGTACAAAATAAAGCCCCAGAGGAGGTGGCGGTGTCTAATATACTTCCTCACAAAGCTCTCACTTTCCTTGACACATGGCTTAGCTCCAGCCCAGAAGTCGGAGATTTTATCTAATATATTCTTCTCTCTTTTTAGCAAAACATGCCATAATATTGCACTCTTAAAATATCACTTGCTTTTTTTTTTTTAAAGATTTATTTATGCACACAGAACTGGGGTACAGGCCAGAGGTGCAGGGGCTCTGAAAAGATTCACCAGAGACAGAGTGAGGGGCAGAACAGGCCAAATGACTACTACAATGCTGATGGGAGCAGCGGGCGGGTCAGGAGAGGTCTGCTGCACCACGTGGGTCACCTCCCCGGGGATCAAACGCATGCCGAAGTGGCTTTAGTTTCTTAGTGCTGTGCTTTAACCTGCTGTGCCACAGGGAGGGCCCCCAAAATCACTTACTTTTAATTCTGGCTTCAATACAGCTTGGTTTATGACAGAGTGACGGTCAGCCAAGAGGGGTTCTTCTGGGTTCCTGCTCATAGGAAACTTCAGTGTGTTTAAGTAGAGGCACTTCACTTTCTTCCTCATGTATCTTTGAAATTCATCCTAGAAAATACAATCCAGCATATGAAATTCTTAAATTTTATCCATAAGGTATTCAATCAACCAAATATCTGCTAAGTTCTAAGCCAGTGATTCTCAAAGTTTGGGCTACAGACAAAAATTTTGACATTTTCTTGGAATTGCTAAAAATGCAAATATTCAGCTCCACCCCAAACCTACTAAATCAGAAATTCTGGGGATGCAGCCAGCAGTCTGTGTTTTAAGGGACCTTTCAGGTAATTACGATTTGCATTAAAATTTGAGACCCACTTGTGCTCATGAATAAAAAGAAAGATATAATTGGCAACAAAGCTTATCCAGAAAATCACTATCAGCTAACTTTTATCCCCCTGGCAATTAGCATGTACTAAGCAACTTTTCAAACTCCATTAGGACAAACACGCAAGAGGCAGTAAAGAATCATATTAAAGCTACGTGCTGCTAAGTCAGATTTCTTTGGCCTCAGACTACCTGACTGAACTTGCACAGATGATTTAACCTCTTAAGTTTTTCGACCAAAAAGCAAAGCCAATAATAGCATATAACTCACCACATTCTTAGAAAGAATAAACTGTGGCATGATAGAGCTTAGCATAGAGTCACTTAAATAGTAGTTTCTCCATGTTCCCCAAATATATACCAGAGAGTACTAGTTATCAGATAAATACAACCTAATGTACTGGTTAGATGAATGTGTGAGTCTCAAGTGGAGGAGAGTATTTGAAGCAAATATTCATCTGCAGTCACATGGGAAAGGCCAATTTAAAATGTATATAAATAAGCATAAGGCAAGAGGATAAATATTTTAAGTATAGTTTTGTCAACTTCTGCATGTCAAATTGATGTTTCCATAAGGTATGGTTTTGTTGTGTGTGTAGACTAACATTTTTCAAAGAACTTTTCTCAGGCCAGTATTTGGAAGGATTGACATCAAAATTTAAATCACATCTAGAAATTTAAAACATCCAATTTCCCTCAAATTGCGTATTTTTGAAAAACTGAACGATCATTCCTGGTGATGTCTTAAGAGTTGTAACTCTGACAGCTGCTGTTTATGCAATAGCTAAGAGCACCGACAATTGGCCTGAGGTAGAAATTTGGTAGAAATATCCCCAGGTTGACATGGAGGAAATGTCCTTCACTCCAGGGTCAAATTAAGAAATGGCAGATAAGGGTGTCTCTGATGCTGCAGGGGTTAAAGTCTCAGTGCTATCCAGCGATAACCAGCCACTGTGGCAAGAGCTATCAAGCAATAGCCAGCCACTGAGGCATGAGTTTGATCCCCAGCCAGGGAGCTGACACACATCGTGCAGCACACCTCTCCTGTCTCACCTGCTGCTCCCCTCAGCAGTGGTGAATCCTCTCAGGCCCCACACCTCTGGTCTATACCCCAACTTTTGAATGCATAAAAAAAATAAAATAGGCCCTCCCTGGTGGCGCAGCGGGTTAAAGCACTGAACTAAGAAGCTTAAGCCACTTCTGCATGTGTTTTATCCCCGCCTGCCCGGGGGAAGATCCACATGGCGTGGCAGACCTCTCCTGCCCGCCCGCTGCTCCCCTCAGCAGTGTATTTCATCGATCTGCCTGTTCTGCTCCCCACTCTGTCGCTGCTGAATCCTCTCACCCTCTGAATCTCTGGCCTGTACCCCAGTTCTGTATGAATAAATAAATAAATCTTAAAAATAAAATAAAATAAATCTAAAAATAAAAGAAAGAAATGGCAAGTAGATTGCAGGGTTGGTTTCACCATCTTCTAACAGGGGCAGGAAAACTTTACAGAGAGGAGGCTCTGTCCTCTGGCATGTTGGCCAGTCATTGCTTTTGGCACAGATAGAAAACAGAACACGCACCGTTGTCCTTAGCAAAATGGTGTCTGCTTCTTGCAAGGGGCATGGGACGCAGTTGGCCCACACCCTCCACTGTGGCCTCCAGTAGAATACCAACAGAAGAGTCCCACAGGTCAGCGTGGAAGCTACAAGCCAGAAGACTCTGCGGAGATTCTGAGTCCGGTAACCAAAAGCCTCCTGGAGAGTAAATAAAAGATGATTCAGATTTTTCCTGCTTGAGTACATTGTTCTCTTACTATTTGGACAGTCTATGGTTTCCCCTCTCGGGTGTAGCCAGCCTGGCTCTCCCACCACCAAATCACCCAGATTCTTAACTCTAATCTGCTGTGCTATTTTTCTTGTCACATAAACTTTTCATTTTGTTCCAAGAAACACATACTTTACATGCAGGGGTTTTGGTTGAGAAGAAAAGTGCTTTCTACTGGTTGAATCAGATTGATTGCTTACAGCTGTCAGTTGATATACTAATGAAACAAGGAGCATTTTATTACCCTGGCATATGGAGCAGCATTAGACAGGAGGAGAAAGGAGTGGGCAGGGTTGTTTGTTCTATATCTATAAATGGTGGCAACCGGTGTCTGAAGCTGTAAACTACTACAGGTGGTGCCCCCTGGAGGGGGTTGCCAGGAAAAAATGCTGAAAGTGGGGTGGCGCAGTGGAGCTAGGGGTCACACTGATCTGTGTCCGGGCAAAGGAAAACGGGGAGACTCGGGAGTCTGGCGTTTTGCTAAAATGCAAGAGAGTGGCTGTTTGTCGGTCTTTGGACCACTACAGATCAGCTGTTGTCTTGAGTGTCGCCTGTCTGGTGCAGTGCTGGGTCATTTCGGCAACTCAAGGAGGGCTCTTGTTACCTTTTCTGCTGTGTCTGAGTTGGGACCTGGCCCACTGTCTGGCTGCAGTGTGTCCGCTGGAAGCCGCCATCTTAGACACGTGGCCTACTTTGGGGGAGGAGCTCCTTGTCATCAATGGCGGGAAGATGTCATTTAAAGTGCCTTTGCACGGGACTGAGTAATATTGGTCAAAACTTTGGGTATGGGGCCCTCCCTGGTGCCCCAGCGGGTTAAAGCACAGCACTAAAGTTTAAGCCACTTCCGCATGAGTTCGATCCCTGCCTGTCCCGGAGGAGATCCTCATGGTAAGGCAGATTTCTCCTAGCTTGCCCGCTGCTCCCCTCAGCAGTGTGCTTCCTCGATCTGCCTGTTCTACTCCCCGCTCTGTCTCTGGTGACTCCTCTCACCCTCCGCGTCTCTGGCCTGTACCCCAGTTCTGTATAAATAAATCTTTAAAAAAAAAACTTTGGATAAAGTAACTGGCCATTATTGGCCTCATAATTCTTTGTTTTTCTCTGGTTTGTTAAATAAACCTCTTTGCTGTTGTCCCCTGAGCCTGCATTGTCTGCAATTGTGCTGGTGGGTGAAGAATTCAGTGACCAGTAAACTATATGAACAGTGTCTTTGGCCTAGTTTAGTGCTACTTGATGCCTTGTATATATCCTCTTCAGTGTCATTTCAGCCTTTATAAAATACCCCATTTGGGGACCAGATTCACCTTTTTGAGGTATAAGTTTTTTTTAAATGTTAATATGAATTTAAGGAACAAAAGTGATAAAGTCAGAACAGAAATGATCTACACTTATATATCTAGCTTTATACAAATTCAACTTTGTGGTATAATATGATTTAGAAAGATTGAAAGTGGACATCAAAGCATTGCTTTTTAAAAGTATAGAAAGATATAAATTCGGAGAATATATCTGTGGACATGATTTACAACGAGTAGTTTATAGGTATTTACCCTGAAAATAATAGACTGAAATACTTCTTCTTTTAGTAGTGAGACAGTTAATATTTATTGTGAATTGAGTAAAGATTTGAGATGTGATTTCAGAATAGAAAAATACAGGTTTATTACTTAAAGCCATTTTCTGGTTTCCATTTTCTATATGCAAGTTTCATGAAATTGCTTTTTAAATTTCAAAAACTAGAATTTTCATGCAGTGGGAAGACCCAGAGGAATTCTGGTTCTTAATGGCATTGCTATTATAAAACTGGTTTTGTTTCTGCGGTTATTTTTGTGTTTCATTATTTCTGTGATTCTAAACTTCCATGTCCAGATTACAGACAAAATGTCAAGAAAATAGGACTTTATTGAATTTTTATAGCACTTTCAATTTGGGAATCACCTGAATTTAATGCTAATTTTCATCATTTTAGAATACATCTCTTGTCTTAATGCTTTGAAAAGTTTTCATTCTCAGTATAGCCATTTTGATTAATTTTTCCAATAAAGAAATCTGTGGTAAATCAAGATTTTTAATAACAGTTGTTGAAAGTAATCCTGTAGCATAATCGCCAGGTCATAGGCAGGCTCAATTCTCCACTCTGCTAGTTGTTAGCTCTGTGGCCTTAAGGGAAATCATTTCACCTCTCGGGAATCCCAATTTATTCTTCTGCCACACATTAGAAATACTCGTCTTACAGGATACTTGTACTCAGATGAGAGAATGTCTCTTTAAATGCTCTGTAAAGTAATTGCAAGTTCTTTCCACTGCTCTACAGCACTATCACCCACTAGGGCCAAATGTTCAGAGTTTATAGATTACTCATGATAAGGTACAAATGTAACTTAGGAACATGTGTTCACTCTCTTTTTATGCATATTTGCAGGTAAGTTGCCTTTCTATCTTCTGATTTTTTCTCTGTAAGTAAAACATATAGACCAATTCACATATTATGTCATATTATCCTGTACTAAGTTACATGCAGGAATGTGTTGCCAAAGCCCAAGTATGTACAAAATAGAAGAACAGTTGGAACTTTTAGTCTATAACACAGTCTATATACAACTGAAATGAGCACATTTGTAAATGATTTTACCTTTTCCTGTTTATTTATCCTCAACAATGGCATTGGTAATCATAATTCTGGTTCCTCTGCAACATTTTTTTGTAAAGATTTATTTATTCAGAACTGGAGTACAGGCCAGAGATGCAGAGGGTGAGAGGATTCACCAGGAACAGAGTGGGGAGCAGAACAGGCAGATCGATGAAGTACACTGCTGAGGGGAGCAGCGGGCTGGTCAGGAGAGGTCTGCCATGCCATGTGGATCTCCTCTGGGGCAGGCAGGGATAGAACTCATGCAGAAGTGGCTTAAGCTTCTTAGTGCTGTGCTTTAACCCGCTGCGCCACCAGGGAGGGCCTGCAACATTTTTTTAATTAAAAAATGACCCACAATAATTGTAAAAGTTCTAAGAAACTTCCGCATGAGTTCGATTCCCGCCTGCCCCGGAGGTATCCACATGGCACTGCAGACCTCTCCTGACCCGCCCACTGCTCCCCTCAGCAGTGTACTTCGTCGATCTGCCTGTTTTGCTCCCCACTGCCTCTCTGGTGAAGCCTCTCACTGCCCCTGAACCTCTGGCCTGCACCCCAGTTCTGTATGAACAAATAAATAAATCTTAAAAAAAAAGAATTATAAAGATTTTATTTAATGCATTGAATTAGTAATTCAGATCAAAATCACAATGACATACCACCTTAAAACTGTTAGTTTGGCTATTTTCAAAAAGAACAAGACATAACAAGGGTTGGCAAGGATGAGAAGAAAAGGTAATCCTTGTGCACTATTGGTGGAAGCGCAAATTGCTGTCATCACTATGAAAAACAGTAATGGGGTGTTCTCAAAAATAGACAACAAAAAATAGTATTAGCATATGATTCAGCAATTTCACTTGTGAATATTTATCTAAACATTAATTCCAAAAGCTATATACATCCCTATATTCATTCCTGCATTATTACAGTAGCCAATATGTGCAAACAGCCTAAGTGTCCATCAATGGATGAGTTAATAGATGTAGTATAGACATGTGTGTACATGTGTATGTTACTCAGTACTAAAAAGGTGAAATATTGTCATTTACAACGACAAGGTTGAACTTAGAAACATCATACACTAAGTTGAAATAAGTCACACAAAGACAAATACCAAATGATCCCACTTATATGTGGCATCCCACTTATATGAGTTTGGAACCCCAAGCTCATAGTTTAAAAAAGAAAGAATGGCAGAAGTTGAGGGGTGGGTAAACAGATGAAGAGTCTGAAGATACAAGTTATATTAGTGATAAAAATAAATAAGTTATGGGGTGGTAATATAGACCATGGTGATTAAGATTAATGATGTATAGAATATTTGAAAATTGCTGAGAGAATAAATCTTAAACGTTCTCATCTGGCCCTCCCTGGTGGTACACTGGGTTAGGATGCAGCACTGCAAGCTGGCTGCAGCCACTTCAGTGGGAATATGATCCCTGCCCCAGAGGTGGCCACACGGTGCGGCAGACCTCTCCTGTCTCCTTGCTGCTCCCCTCAGCAGTGTGTTTCAGTCAATCTGCCTGTTCTGTTCCCTACTTTGTCTCTGGTGAATTCTCTCACCCCACCCCTTGCACCTCTGGCCTGTACCCTAGTTCTTGTATACATAAATAAATAAATCTGGGGCCCTTCCGGGTAGCACAGCAGGTTGGAGCACTGCACTGTGAAGCTAAGCCAAGTCGTGGCTGCTTCAGTGCCAATTCAATCCCCACCCAGGAGGTGACCCACATAGCTGGCAGACCTCTCCTGACCCGCCCGCTGCTCCCCTCTGCAGTGTACTTTGTCGATCTGCCTGTTCTGCTCCCCACTCTGTCTCCGGTGAATCATCTCACCACCCCTGCACCTATGGACTGTACCCCAATTCTGTATGCATACATAAATAAATCTTTCAAAAAAAAGTTCTCATCAGAAAACAGTGATTTGTATCTCCCTATGGTGACAGATATTAACTAGACTTATCATGAAGACAATTTTGCAATATATACAAGTATGAAATCATGTTGTATGCCTGAAAATAATATAAATTTAAATACTAATTATAGCTGAGTAAAAAAATTCATGTGCTACCTCAATTTAAAAAATAAAAATAAAAGTCTATTTTTGAAAAAATGAACTGATGCACACAAGATGAATTTCACTGTGAAATTTTTACTGTTTTACTTGTATGAGATTAAAAAATGAGCAAAACTAATTGCTGATAAGTCATTACATTATACATTAATGTTCAGTACTCTTGGCATTGCTATATTTACATGTGTCAATAAGAAGTGAATTTTTTTTTAAATATGGAATAAGTTTGCTTAT